TTTAATTAATTGCCCTGTGATTTAATTAATTAAAAATGTTAAACTGCCCAATAGCCGAAACGCTCTGGGTGGCTTACCATAAAACTCACTAAAATAATGCGGTTTGAATTCAAAACCTGCACAATAAAATTAAAACGGAAAACAAAAACATATAAACATAAAAACATATAAAGTAGGCAGCTGCAAGTCGGCCACTCAGAAACTGAAACAATATAAATAAAAACGTCATTCAAAAGCCCGGAAAAGAGAAAAGCCCTCACCTGGCCCTGAAATGTAGGCACCAGTGGAGCCTCTCTGGGGAGGGAATTCCCTCAATGGGGTGCCCTGCAGAAAAAGCCCTCCGCTTGGAAAAGCTCTGGAGCAGCAGCCTTCTCCCCAGAGAGGAGCCTGGACGCCCTGCAGGAGGTTGTGCCCTCCTTAAATCGGCTGTGAAAGGCCCCAGATGTTGGGCCCGGGGGTTGTGCGCTGGCCTGCAGGACATCCCACCACTTGAAGGGGACTGCCTGTAAATACTTGGGTGATGTCCAGACACTCAGCGTAATCGCAGACCAAGCGGTTGTGGATGTAACAGAAAAGATGAGCCCAGTCAGGGGCTTCAGGATGCTGGGATCCACCAGCCATTGCTACCTGTCCTCTCCTCCAGTTCCATGTGTGCATGTATGTATGTATGTCAGTCACATTTATAGTTCCTTCCCCCGCTGGAATCTAATGTGGGAGGAGGTCCCTTGCATCACTCCCCCTTGATTGACAGCTCCAGTCGCCAGTCATCCCCGTATGGTTTCCATTCAGTAGGCTGGTATGTGGAGGTAGCCCCAGTCCGTTCCAGAGGCTGGAAGGAGTTGGTCTGCAGTAAGTTGGCCCGCTAAAGGCCCCTTCAACCCCAGGCTGTGTATTGCTGATGTTGAGTGTATGCTTTATGTCAGGTGAAGTGGAGTCTCCCAACAAGGAAATGAACGACGAGGAGGAAGAAGAGGGAGATGAGGAGGAAGAGCTGGAGGAGGAGGAGGAGGAAGAGCAGGAGGAAGAAGAACCTAGGAACTTGGACTCCGTAGATTATGGGAAAGAATCTGACCAAGGGCTGGACCACAACCTCCAGGCGCAGGTGCTGCAGCTTCTAGATGAGTTGGAGGAAACTCGGGAGATGGTCCTCAAGCATGAAGAAGATGCGCTGGAGCTGCAAGGTAAGATTTTAGAAGGCCACGGAGGTCGACAAACTTGGCTCTGTAGCCGCTTCCTTTCAGCTCTCGATTTTTGGCCTGCTGTCCCCTGTTAACAGCAATGACGGTCCGTTGTCCTCTCACAGTGTTGGGTGACATCCTAGGTTGGCTGAGATGATGGTGAGGCCCTCCAATGCATGTGAGGAGCATCAGTGGAGGGAAACTACTGGGATGCCAGGGAGAAATCTCGGTAAGATCACGGCTCAGTGGATTACACAAACTTCAGGCGCTCCCCCCCTTCTGGGGCAAATGTAGCCATTGTGTTTTCTCCCTAAACGTTCCCCTTTGCCTTCCTTCGTGATTGCACACTCTGGTTCTCTCCGCACGAGTGTACTTGGGCAAAGGGCACCCAAATCTCTCTCTGTCACAAGTTTCCAACATGCCTCCTGCTGGAATCCCACGGTCTCCTTATTCTCTCCTTCAGGCTGTCCCCGGCTGAGTTCGCACAACGTGCTTCACCAGGTCAGTTAAAAAGCCAGCAGCTGCACTTCTGTTACCGGCAGCTTGGCTTGCTTTAATTTTGGAGGCTGTGTTGTGTGTTGCTTAGTGTGTTGTTCAAACCCAGCCCTGTTGTTCAGTTGACTTCCAGCATATTGTGCAAACGCAACAAATAGGGTTAATTATTTGTTCACCAGAAGAAGCACGTCATGTGAATGGTCAGCCCGGACAGATAAACTAGCCTTTGGCTAAGGTGTTGTGCGGACGTCGCTCTCCCCTCCCCTTTCGTCCCTGTCTCTTTGCTTGAACTCCTCTGTGGCTGTGATGTAGGCATATCATACAGCCTAGCTTTGCAAGCAAAAGATTCGTTGCTCGAACAGAAGGTTGCAGCGAAGGAGCCCGTCAGTTGCTCAGCTGCAGCTTCCATCCTGACTTTTTTGACCCCCGTGGGCTCCCCGGCCATCAGGACCTGCTTGACTGGATTCTCCGAGGGTTGCCTGGCCACTGATCCGCCTCTTTCTCTGACAGGTTTACTCGAAGATGAACGTCTAGCAAGCGCGCAGCAGGCGGAGATCTTCACAAAGCAGATCCAGAGGTTGCAGGGTCAGTCCTGATGTGCTTGGGGGGGTGTTATTTGAGACTCTCATGAGTCACCCTATCGCAGAGCTGCTGACTTTTAAAAACCTCAAGCCAGGGATGGTGTCTCCTCTCTTGACCTAGTAATTACCATCCCCTGTCGCTGATATTTGAGCTGCGTTGCCAAGAAAACTAAGAATATCAAGGAGATACTTTGGCCGTTCATTCATAGCCGATCCCTTGGCTTTGTGAAAGGCCGAGCTGTGTGGGGAAAATGCTGCGAAATCATGCCTTGAAATGATATTAAGCAGTGGTCTCATCCTGGAGAAGGTCTGTCTGTGTGGCTGCTGAGAGCCGGCGCTGAGTCAATGGCACATAATTTCTCAGTCCGGTGAAGGCCATTGAAAAAGAGGCCCATGGAGACGAGGTGTCTAGAGACAGCCATGGATGACGCAAACAGGAGCTTGGGAGACCTCCAAGAAGCCGCTAGTGACAATAGCAAAATGATGTCCAATAGCCATAAAGGGTCAGAAGCAATTTATATTTATTTATTCCTTCATTCAAAGTGGTGGTAGCTGCCCAACTCCAAAATGAATGATTGCACAACAAAATCAGTGGGGCTAGATTTTTACTGATGTTCTACAGCAGTGTTTCTCAAGCTTGGCCACTCTAAGATGTGTGGACTGCAACTCCCAGAATTCCCCAGCCAGCATGGTTGGCTGGGGAATTCTGGGAGTTGAAGTCCACACATCTTAAAGATGCCGAGGTTGAGAAACACCGTTCTACAGTGTTAGTAAGTTCCTCCTGCTTAGCTTGCTGGCAGAGGAGCAAATTCTGCTTGCAAATTCTTGAATTATGTGTCACTTGCAACGCAGTGAGTTTAATCATGGAGGTCTTGCGAGGAACTCTGCCTCAATCTAGCCGGGCTCCTTTTGCAAAGCTTAGCGTGAAAGAAGGGCTGGAGAAGGTGCCGTGAAGTCAAGAGCAAGGGCACACGTGCCAGCATTTCCACCAGGGCAGCAAGCCGTGTCTTTGGCTCTGTGGGAGAACCAGCGGCTAACCTGAAGAGCATCAGCGGGGTGCCTGGCTGGGTGGGGCGATGGTCGGCTGTCACTTGCGCAGTTGCGTAACCGAGGTCAAAGCATGAATCAAGCTCGGTTTGCGGGTGAATGCAACTACAGCATGTCAGGCTAATGGTTGCGGTCAGCAGGTGGAGTTTAAGAGCAGTGGGGGCGGGCTGCATCATTCGCAGGCTTTAAGGAACCCTGGAAAATCCTTGAGGAATTGCACGGCAGCTTTCCTGAGCATTGGGGGGGCTCGGCGTAGCCTGTCAAGCCCACGGAACAAATCTTGGAAAGGAATCGCATTTTTCCAAACGATGCTCTCCTTGCATCCCGGTTTGGATGGGCGAAGACGACGGCTCGGAAAGCGATCCCTCATCGCAGATCGTTTTTGCTTGCAAAGCCGTGGCTCTGTCTTTCGAGCAGGGGTGAGCAACCGGTGGCCCTCGGCCAATATCTGGCAGGCAAACAGGTCAAATCAGCCAGCTAGAAAGAGGAAAAGGGGCAGGAGGAGGGAGGAGCAGGAGTAGAAAAAGGAGGGGGAGGCTCTGTTGATGTTTTGGTCTCCCTTCCGCCCTTCCCTTGGAGGGACGGAGCCTTTAGCCTTAAAAATATGGGGCTGGTGTTAAACAGCTGGACTTGCAGACTGAATCTGGGTGGGGGGGAGCAGCCTTGCCCAAAGTCCAAAGAACCCAAAAATGGCCTTCATGCTAAAATTTGCAAGGGGGAGAGAGCACCTCAGTTTCCAGAGCCAGCTACGGCTTGCCACAGCCCAGCCGAGATCTCCCTGCTTCTGGAAATCCAGCCCGGCTTCCCTCCCCTTGTACTGAGCGCTTTTCTCTCTGCAAGAAAAGGCAGGGAGCTGGCTGGTTTACGCTGCTTTTCCTGGGCGGAGGGAGAGAAGTCATTAGTCCTTTCCTTATTTCTCTCTGGATTAAGGACTGGGAAAACTGGGGGTTCGCCCTGGCTTCAGGGATCCCCACATCATTCCGCCTGCCTGAATCCGTCAGTCTTGTCCACCCTTCCCCAACCTGGGGAACCTGCAAATGGGTTGGACTTCCGCTCCCAGAATTCCACAGCAGTGTGGCTAATGGTTGTGTTGGCTAGGAATTCTGGGAGTGGAAGTCCAACTTTATCAGCTGTTGGCTCTGATTCACGTTCTTACTCATGCTTAGAAAATACCTGGAGTATTTCCAGGCGGGGGTGTCCAAGGTACAGGCTGCTTCTGGGGCCCAGAGGCGCATCTCGTTCCTTGCCAGCAAGAAACAGGCCGTCCAATCCACCCGGTCAGGCTTGTTTTCTGCCGGTAATTGCCAGTTCCTGGTGAAGGTGCTGGCAAGGAATAACCAAGTGTGTGGATTACTTTTTTACCACCCTTTGCTTGAATCCTTTCTTTTTTAAATAAAATCTGGGAATCAAGTTATGCCCAGATTGACTTCTTTGTCTACCGTGTGGAGCTGAGGCTGTTTGTGGGCTCTGGTTCTCCTATGAAGAAGCAGTTTTAAGATGTTGAAGAAATGATTCAGAGGATTGTGCAGAAGTGCCAGAATTAAAATAGGAGATCAGTCCAGATCAGTGTTTCCCAACCTTGGCCACTTTAAGATGGG